CTCATGGACCTTGGCTCTCTCTCTGACCTAATCTCATCTTGGCAGACAGCTGCTAGGTTTTTTTTTTTCTTTCACGAATATCCTCTTTCGCCTTCCAAAGTAAGAGTACAACCCAGGGAGGGCTGAGAGAAGAGCGGGGATTGGTAGTTGGCCTTGCGTAGTGTGTGGCTGAAGACCAGGAGGACGGCTGATCAAACTCTGGGTGCTCCGATTTTTCTGGGTAGCTCACCGTGAAGTGAGGGGGCTAAAGTGGCGGGTTGCAAATTCAAATGCTGACAGCAGCCTCTCACTGTGTCTGCTCTTTGGGAGTTCAACACAACTTCAGTTTTCTGTGTAAGGACTCATGGGAGAAAGTTCTGTCTCATCTACATATTGAGAATAGTGTTTCTTTAGGCCTGCTAAGAATTTATCAACACTTATCCTTAAGCCTTCTTGTCTTCCTGCTGCAGCTGAGCTCTGCCTTAAGGCCCATCACTATCAGATAGATAGGAGTGAATGCATTTGGTGACTAAGCTCTCACACGGCTTTTAATTTCCCACCATTCTTTTTTATCAGGCCCCATTTTTTTATTATTTAAAATTGAGTTGAACTTATTAAGTATCTCTGTAACATACCTCAAAAAAAATTTTTTTTTTGAAGCAGGGGGAACTAGGCAGGGTCTAAAATAAAATAGCCAAGTGAGTACATTGGAGGGAGTGCTTGGTTAGCATGAAGTTAACTGGGTTGTAACTCATAGGAGAGGCAGACAGCATAGAATGGGGAAGTACTTCTAAGGGTAGAGGAGTTTGGCTTTGCCACCCTGGTTGTGAGAGTATCTTCCGGGATGGGGAGGGGTTGGGAAAGCCATCAAAGCAAGTGTTAGCATACCATGACACTTAACGTTTCAGGTGTCTGCAACTTGGAGCACTCAAACCAATTTCTGCATGGCCAATTATTTAGTGCCCGTCCGATTTGCAGTTTCATACAGACCATGGTCTAAATATAAACAGAGACCACGCTAAAGTCCCAACATGATTGTGTGATTTGGGTACATATTGGATACTCAGTGTTTCTGGGTCTGGGGATGAAATGTAGAGACAGTACTTGAGGTGTACTGGTGGCTCTAGGGAACTAAGTAGATAGTTTTTTTTTTTTTCATTTATGTATATTTTCTGTTGCTTACAGAATGAAATTAGAATGAAAGTTTTAGGATAAAGGGAAAAGGGAATTTTGATGTTTTGACAGATATTACAGTTTTATCTTTTCAACAGTTGTCATAATGGCATATGCTGATACACTGATATATAAATTACTTTTTGATGGCATTCACTGTTCTTTTATTCATTCATTTAGCTTTGTATAATATGGATAATACATAGACAGTATTGACCCAGTGTAAGCCATTATCTTGCTTAAGGTTTTCATCATTCATGTCTTTAAAATGCTTGGTTGAAACAACCAAAAATTAATTGTTGCTGTGGTTATTTAAGGACTGCATATTACTGTGAGCCTGGAGTATCCACAGTCTACTGAGTCATGGTATAAAGGACTGTCCTCTTTATAAATACGTCTTAGTAAATAATTATTTTTGCAGTTTTTAAAATTTGTCTTTTAGCTAGTTTATCTAAAATGTTTTGAAGAGCCCAATGACTAGTTTTCAGTTTTATTTATAGTCTTTGAGTCTGGCAGGTATGGGGAGGAACAAGATTGAACAGGCAGGTTATACACACCAGAAAGAGTATGGCAGGCCTGTAGATGCCTGCAGTCTGGAGGCAGCATGGCAGTTAGTAAGAACTCAATATTGAGATGCTACTTGAGTGGTAGTAAGACTTAGTACATCCAGTTTTCAAGTGAGGAAACTGAGGCACAGATAGGTGTGCTGTCTGTTGCTGGAGTGCTAGAGCCTGCCCACGATAACACAGCTAGTGCAGGCAGAGCCTGGACTGAACACAAGTAGGTCCGAGAGCTGCACTCTTCACTACTGCTCTGCCACTGCCTTCACACAGACTGTGCATCCGTGTGCTGATTATCACCTGATGTCTCCTCTGGGAAAGCTAGGAAATAAAGTAGCTCCAACTTGATTGCAGGGCATGATGCACCCAAGACAGGCATTTATCTACTATATCAAGTAGTATGGTAAAGATACAATAAATCTATATGATTTTACCTCTTAAACTACCTATGAAGAAGAGGTAACTGGTAGCAAATGGTGAGTTTGAGTAAAAACTTAAAAAGTAGTCAATAAAAGCATGCTGGACTGCAGGCAGACCGGATTCCAGATCAGAGCTCTGCCCCTTACTGGTATACTGCTTACGCCTCAGTTTGCTCAGTTGTAAAATGGGGGTAATAGTAGTATGCACCCTAAGGTTGTGTGAGTTTTTTAAAAAATAATATATGTTAAAATATGCAGTATTCTTGGTACCTATTCAGTTATCAATGTGTACTTGTTGTTTTAGTATTAAGGCTAGAAGGACAGTTTGGCATATGGGTCCTATCTAATACATTAGAAGTAGTCATTTAAGGAGTTTTTCTCTCCTTCCAAGAAGACAAATTATTAGAAATTACTGTATAAGAGAAATTATAGAACATTGATATGAATGACTTAATGTGATGTCTTGCACTAGGTGGAACTTAGTGCTCTTATTTAAATGTATTTTGGTGTAAATTTTTTCATGTTTGGCCAATAAGAATAGTAATGAAACAAAGTATGCTAATTAGGTACAGGACAGAGATCAAATGTTCTGTTCTGCCTGTGTTTGCCGTATAAGGAGATAGAAAGTTTGGAAACCATTGCTGGGTCAGAAAGGAGCCCAGCTTTAACCGTCAGCCTGAAGCAGGTGATTTGAGTCTCTGTCCTTGTTCACCTTGACGTTCTCCATGTGGCTCACCTTATCTGGCTTTTCACAGCAGGGCCACATTTGCCTCTGCTCTTGCCTCTGCTTCAGATGGTTACAGCTGTAAGAGCTATAGCTGGACCTTGCATTTGTGTTAATGCTCAACTTTCCACCTGACATAGGAAGAGCAAACAGTATTCATCTTCATCTTGCAGAGGAAGAATCTGAGACCTAGAGATGTCGAGATTTGATTAACGTCATGTAGCTGGCTAGGGACAGAACTGGGAGGATGTCATTTTTGGCTCTACCCAGTGCCCTCTCAAGCATTCCTGTGTATTTGGACCAAGGCTTGGGTTCTTTGGTAACCAACCTCAGCACCTCAGTATGTCTCCTGGATCATGGGAATGTAGAGATGCAAGGGGTCTAATCTAATCCTCTCATTTTACCTGTGAGGGAGCTCCTGGGGAAGTCAGAGGCTTTCCCACGTCATACTGATAAGTTTTGGTGCAATCAGCTCCAAACCCCAGGTCATTTTGCTGTGAGTCCTGGGCTTTCCACCCTAAACTGAAACAATTGTCTCATGTCTGTGTAGGAGACTGCTAGATGCTTCCAGGGAAATGACTGTACCTAGACTTCACCTCACTTCTGTTCTGCCTTCACCGTCGCATCCTTTATTGGTTTTTGAGGGATTTTCATGGATTTTCAGAGTTTTCTCACTTTAAGAGCATACAGAGAACAAAATGGCTGTTCTGGTCTCCTCCGTCTTAAATTTCTGTGGCATTTTCTCAGAACATGATATATTTTTTGTTCCTAAACAGAGTGAAACACTAAGATATCAAGGGAGGAAGAAAAGCAGGCTGACTCTGAAGGGCACAAACAGCCGAAACTTAAATAAAAACATTCGTTCTAACTTAGTCTTCCTTCTCCACCCACATCCCTGAGTGCAGTAAGCCTCTCAGCATATCATCCCTGGGGAAGAAATTTTCCCTTCAGTGTCTTCATGAAATAGTTAAGGTTTTCTGGCTAAATACCTTTATTTCTTTGTAGGCTACATCTTTAAATATGGAATTCAGCAGCCAGACTGCTCCTCTTTCCCCTTCTCCTTAACCCACATCTACCTGCAACACTTTTCAAATAGATGTCAGAAGCAAGAGTCTGAGGATGGACTAAGAGAGGACATGTCTCCTGGATCCCTAACCTCATGGAGAGGTTAACCTCGAATTGACAGAAATAAGAATGACATGAGGGTGTCTGGCGTTTTTGCCCCCCAAATATGAAGTAATATAGTTCCAATTTGTTTATCTTCATATTGCTAGTAAATTGGAGGCTCTAATTAGAATTATGAAAGGAAACTGTTGTTAAAAGTGTTAATATACCTAACATGAAAGCAGATTCAATTTAAGAATGTGATGTAAAATTCTACAGTAGATAAATCTTAACCTAATGAATCAAAAAATCATTCTACCGTAGGCTCAGCTACTTTTTAAAATCCTTATTATAACGTATAAGAGATGAAATCTTTGTGCTTGCTTCTTGTTTTCCTCACTGAAGTGAAAACTTTGAAAGTTTGAATGTGGAACAGAACTAAGCAGTTACTAACCTGTTTGTCAGTAGCCGGGCAGTTTTCTCAGTACCTTTCCTGACATGTTTTAACATGATTTCTTAAGGGATCAGAATGAGGATTGTCCTGTTCTTTGTGGTACAATGAAAAGATTGAGATTCTTTTATCAAAATGAGGCAATTAGGACAGGAAAGAATATTTTTTCTTTTGGTCTCCTCTTTAAAAAGTGGATGGAAAGATTATGAAGCAAATTTAACTTTTAGGTCTTGGAAAACAATTATGAGGGACTTTGGATTTAACTCATCTAATAGAATAAATGTGGTAAGAAAAAAAAAAAATTCGCTGAATAGAGTGATAGCCAAAAGGTTGTTTCCACTGTTGAAGGCACAAATGCAGTTACCTGTTCTGCCTGCCTTGAGTTAGAAACAGTGAAGCTTTGTGGCCCCTGTCTCGGAAAGTGCTGCCTCCCGAGGAGGATCTACACGTCTTACACTCAGTCAGCATTCCAATTTCTACTTTGTCCTCAAACCTCAGACTTAAGCGGAAGTACACTTACAGTCTTAATCGGTGCTGTGTCCTATCACCATGGCTTTGAAATTTAAAAAATGTTAAAAATTTTCATTTACCTTTCATTGCGGTGGCTGGCTGTCCATTCACCTGATACGGGTGTCTTCAAGTTGAGACAGGCTTCTTGTATCTAGAGTATGCCTTGAAGCTAAGGTTGGCTGAGAAGTGGGTTTTCTCGTAAAACATAAAAAATAAGCATTTTTCCTCCTGTCAGAGAAGGTGGATTGTCCTTTGGGGCACCCTTTCAAATTCTCCTGCCCGGGAACAACTGGAGCAGCTAGCTCTCTTGCTACTGTAAATGACTCATGTCTAAGAGTAAGTGAGATTTGTACACTAGGGAAGAGCATTTCCTGAACCTGCAGGAATCAGATGGTGATTCACCTGAAGGGAACACAAAGGGCTGGAACCTAGAATGCCAGAAGACTGATCTGTGGGGGGTGAAATCTCAGGTTGGGTCCAACTAATCGGATCCAATTTTTAGGTCATTTTTTTGGCTTCCTATTGCTAATTAGAAAATATGTATTTACAGCCTTCCTGCTAATTAAATTCAGGATTTAAAGGAATAAGAATATATTTTGAGAGATGATATTAAAAAAATATTATTCTACATATTTTTAAAGACTAAAATTAAAATGCATTTATAGTAGTAATTGATAACTTTGAAAACCTGTAGTCTTATTTTAGAATCTGATGAAATCTATAGATCTATCTTCATATATACATAAATATTCAAAATTTTAAATAAAACTACTTAAGGATAGGTTCACTAAATCCTATGAATACTGTTCATCAACATAACACAATTTGTTTCACTCTTTTTAAAAATTGTCCCACAATGACAAAATTATGCAATCAGATCACTTTTTTTTTTTTTTTTTTTTAAGTTTGGAACTTTCAGATAAAAATTTCCAAAAGATTCTGATATTTTCTTGAATACAACATTTAAATAAATAAAATTTTAGCAAACGGAATTAAAACCTATTGTTATTATGGATGATGATAAATGAAAATAATCAAAGATGGAAAATTTTTTGA